AACATGAGATCAAGGAGTTCAGCAACAATGAAACTTCGATCGTTGGGGGATTTCAGATTCGTGTGAGTAGAAGCAATTTCAGAATCGAAAGCATGGAATTGGAAGAAGGATTGGAGGCAATTCGACGGAGGTGAGTCGTCGGAGGATGGATCGTAGCTTTGAGCGAGAGAGGAAAACGGGGAGGAAAGAGAGAGAGATGAAAATGTATTTTATCAGATATTAGATTTAATAAATCATTTAATTATACTTTTATTCCTATAATACCCCAAGCTGAATTAATTAAGATACCCCTCCTTCTTTTTTTGTCTACTTATTTACAAAAACGTCACCTTGCATCTCGACCGTTTCTTTTTTTTGATCCAACGTTCCACCTTTAGTTCTCGGGAAACTTTGAGTTCTCAAATGATCCTTCCTCTCTCTCTCTCTCTCTCTCTCTCTCTCTCTATATATATATATATATATATATATATATATATATATATATATATATATATATATATATATATATATATATATATTTGGAAAGGGAACTTCCCTAACGAGGGTTTCCGGGCCAGCTTTCGCGCACCGACTAATCCCCCACTGCAAACATGAGGTTTTGCCTCATGCCCTGGAGTCACTGCAGACGAACCTTCATGACCACAAGAGCCGATGGAATATATATTTAATAGTTAAAAGGTTTTCTTTTTTCCATTGAAAAGTTCAGTGACCATTAAACTCCATATCCATTGAATGCCAACATGGCATCCCACAATGATAGAGTTTAATCCATTGAATGTCAATTAAATATGTCATCTCATTCAACTCTCTCGTTAAACTAAGCTGGATGCTTTTAGAAAGAAACCCAACGTGAATATCATACTATAGATATCAACGAAAAGACAAAAAGATGCCAAACAATACTAATTAAATGAAAATCGGCGAAGCGTTTATATCTGGAATTAATGAGGCCTTTTTTTTTTGCAAAATTAATGATCCTTTTATGATAATTGTTGAAATTTGGTTATTTTTTTTATAAATGAAAACTAGGTTATAGCCATGAAACACAGTTTAAAAATAATTAAAATTTTACAGTAAAATTCATAATTATTAATCAATTATTAAACATGATTTTGTACGATTTTCAATATTGGAATATAATTAATTATCGGCAATTATAACTGAAACTTACTCAAAACGAATTTAAATTTCTCCTAAAAATCAGGGATCAAATAAATAATTGTCTAACTTATTATCAACATCAATACTTTTTAATAAATAAAAAATGATGAGAAAATGACAAACGCCATTTTTATAAAGCATTTGAAAAGAAAACGTAAATTATGAGAAAATGACAAATAACATTAATAACTATTCTTTTATTAGTATAGAAAAATATAAAAAGATATGATCATTTTGAGAAATAACTCTTAATAAAAAAAAATCAACCCACCTCCGCTTTACAAGTAAATAATAATTGAGTAGTAAATTAGTGATTAAAATATATTTTTTTAACGTTCTTAAACAATAATTTTTCATATCTCGCATCATATCGTTGGTTATTGCTTTAAGACAAAATTGAAAGAACGGTCCCTGTGGTATATCAAAAGTAGCAACTTTGGTTCAAAATGGGTTTGGCTCGCAAGGATGGTCCAATAGTTTCGTTTTGTTGCGAGTTTAGTCCAAAAATTTTAGAACTTTTTATAATGACGGATTTGCCCTTGGTATTTTCCCTTTTTTAATTTTTTTATTACAGAAATCAAAAAAAGAAAAAGAAAAAAGAAAATCTCTCTCTCTCTCTCTCTCTCTCTCTCTCTCTCTCTCTCTCTCTCTCTCTCTCTCTCTCTCTCTCTCTCTCTCTCTCTCTCTCCCAGAAGACAATCCACAAAACACCATCATCATCTTTTTTACATATCTTCATCTTCTTTAAAAATCAAAATCATGCCCCTAAAACATTTTGGGGGTTTATTTTTTTATCAAGAACTCCATATACAAACAAATACACACTTAAGAATACTATTTATAATCAATCTAGAAATCATCAATAATGGATTCACCCACCTGTAATGTCATCGACACCCCTTTACTTCCATTCGTCCTTCAAGCTTGATAACAATCATAGTTCGAAAGGGTTTGTGATGTCGAGATCTTATGAGACCCTAGTTATTGTGATCTGCTAATGAAGTCATTGATTCCACCATCATCACAGATAGGCTAAACTAATGTCATTACCACCCCCGGTGAGGTTTCCGACCCAGATCTGGAAGGTTTGTTCCCTCCAACAACACCTCTAAAATACATGAGAGATAGAGAGATCTGATTTTATTGTGTGTGTATGTTCATATGATTGTGTGTGTGTGTGTTAGATCTGATTTTGTGTGTGTTCATCAGATATGGGCGAACTCAAGAACAAACCACAACCGATGTCGTCATAATCCCTTCCTCAACCTCCCTTTCATCTCCAACTCATCTATCTCCCTCGTTTCTCACTTCTCCGAAGAAGAGAGCCACCACAGTCGACTGTGGTAACTCCTCCGCCTCCCCCTGTCGTGACCCACCACCATCCAACATCCCAAATCCAAATCCACAATGGTTGTTCTTCGTTCTTGTTTACCGATTCCAGTCTTTTAGTTTTCTTTTCCCCAAAATCTCATGGTCCCATGGAAGAAATGTTTCTCATCGAGAATCAGAACCCTGAAGTCAATTTAAGCGAAGTAGAATATGAAACAACTTCATAAATCGATTCACTTCCAGATGCCAAATAGGAGATGAGAATCTCTTATTTACAAGTGATACTTGTACAAGCAACTACGGATGGAGTTGTGAAGGTGAAGAAGAAGAAAGGTCAACGAAGAGGGGAGGATTTCACTTTGTTGTAGAAATAAAAGAAAGCCGATTTCTTTACTCATTTTCTTCTCTTTAGTTCTCGCATCTGATTCTCGGATGGCTATAATCAATAATCTTTATGTTACAAAAACCTTCATATCTTTGTTTTCATGATCAGTATTTGGAACCTTCTTGGTTCGTGGGAGGAAGAGAAATCAGGGGCGGTGGTGATTAAGTAGGAATGGTTCCGATTAGAAGGAGACGGTGGTAGTGACGTTAGGGTGGAGGAGCTGGAGGAGAGATTGGTGGTGGTGATTTTGGGAGTTTGATTTTGGTCAATATTGTCTAGTTCCCGAGAGAGAGAGAGAGAGAGAGAGAGATTTTATTTTTGTTTTATTTTATTTTTAATTGTTGTAATAAAAGAAAAATAAAAATAAAATAATAAGGGGCAAATCCGTCATTATAAAAAAGTTCATAGGAAATTGGACTAAACTCACAACAAAATGAAACTATTGGACCATCCTTGGGAGCCAAACCCTATTTGGACCAAAGTTGCTAGTTTTGACATACCACAGAGACCATTCTTGCAATTTTGTCTTGCTTTAACGCAATTTTTCCAATTGACAAAACTGCAAATTTGGTCCCCGTGGTTTGCCAAAAAAATGTGGATGGAGTCCAAAATCTTTTCAACTTGCACCATTGGTCCAAAATAAGATTTTTTTTTTGTGGTTATGGTCCCTATCAAACATAAAAAGTCTATTATACCCTTTTAATTTGTTTTTTACATTTTTTTTATTTCTTTTACCATTTTTATAATTTAAAAATAAAAAAGAAACAACAAACCTCCCAACCCCACTACCCGATTACCCTCTTCCCTCTTCCCTCTCTTTTTTTTCTCTCTCTCTCTCACACACACACACACACACATCCCCAAGAAAACCCAGAACCACCAAATTTCACCATCTCCACCATAGATTCACCTCTACTGCACGGTAAAATCACCCATGGTCGCCAAAAATCCTCCCACCTGCGTGAGGTCCATGTATCGAGCTCCACATGTAAACATCTTTCTTGTTTCTTTCAAAGATGGGTTGTTTTGGGTCTTAATGAATGATGATGACTAACAGAGTATTCTGCATCACCTCTTGAACTAGAATCTTCACCTTTGAGCTCTTTCTTATGCATGTTCTCTGAATTGAGATTTATCCATCCGGTGGAGTGGGTAAGTTGCTACCAGAAAGAATGGATGGGAGTGATAAAGTGAAAAGAACACAGAGGAGAGGAAATCCAATTTCCTCCATTAGAGAATGTTGGAGAGTGAGGAGTGAAAGTACAAGACTACAAAAATCACCCTTTTTGCCTTCGATTTTATGTTGCAGGTCTGAATGATAAGAGAATTTCAATGACTTAGCCTCAAACTAAAGCTTTCATACCTGATTCATCCTATGATCGTGTTCTTGCTTTCATCCCAGATTCATCCTATGTTCCTCAAATCAAAGAAACCTCACAACCACAGAAGGGTTATCGAACCTCGATTTCATGGCTTGGTTAAAAAAAATTGTGAGAAGGGTGTGAAATAGAGCAGTAAGGAAGAAGAAGATGAAGAGAGAGAAAAGAGAGAGAGAGAGAGAGAGAGAGAGAGAGAGAGAGAGAGGTAGGGATACGGTGGGTGAGGGTAGGGTGGGCCAATCCTTGTTTTTTGTATTATTTTTCAATTAAAAGGGTGTTAAAACAAATACAAAAAATTAAAAAAGAAATTAATAGGGCAAAATAGTCCTTTCAACTTTTTGAGGGACTAAAACCACAAAAACTTCTGATTTTGGACTAGTGGTGCAAGTTGGAAAATTTTTGGACTCCATCCACATATTTTTGCTAACCACAGGGACCAAAATTGCAGTTTTGTCTTTCCAATTATATTCGATTAGAAGAATCCGAACTTGAACCCCTCTTCGTTATACATTATACAACAAATACAGGGACTAATCGTAAATACCTTATATCTCAAAGGACTTAAAAGTACAAACTATTTTTTAAGTGTCATGTCGATTAATAACAGAATTTCCCGCTTCTCTTCTTCTTTACTTGAAACCCTTCGTACAAAAACCTGTAAATCACTTCACGCAACAGAAAAACAAAAATCATTTTCATTTTTCCTGATCGTTTTCTTTCTACAATCGTTCGAAGGGTGCAAGAAAATGAATCGAAATCCAAGAAGAGACAAATTTGCGAAGGCCAAAATTGAAGAACCAAATCTAAATCTGCGTTTATCTACAGAGCTGTTTCTGAAACGTGATGATCATCCACTAAATGATCTCTGCTATATGAAAGTTTTCGGTAAGGATTTCATTATCATTACAAAATTGTATAATATCAGCGCCATTTTTCTTTTGTTTTTGTATTGTAATTTCCACGTTTAAGAATTTGATCGATGTTTTGTTCCTTTTTTTGCTAAGGGTCTTGGAGAACTTCGTTCAATTCTCACAAGATTTCTGCTGCGGTGTGCTCTTGTTGTCTTTTTGTTTCAGTAATTTGATTAAAGTTATCTATCTGTTTTGATTTTATCATCAAGAAAGTTGTTAATTAGTTGTAATCAATGTTTTTACTTCTCTAATTTTCAATATGAAGATAATACTCGGAAAGCTCACCAAGTAACTGAGACAGATGCTTCAGAGGCCAAACTTGATAGAAAAGTATATAGGATTCGTAATAAAGAAGTACGTGATCACATTCTACGTATCTCATATCTGTTACAAATATAGAAATCATTTTCGCTGAAAATTCTGTATATATTACTCTTTTTCACAGCTTGTTACAGTCTTTGGGGACGATTTTGAAGGGATGAAGGAGATTCAAAGAGTCTCGAAAGCCACAATTGGGATACTAGCAGATGCTGAATCCAATCTTCTGAGGCATTCGTTTCTGGACATTCTGGGTACTGCTGAAGAAGTTACAACTGCTGAAGAACTCATCCTAGATGAAACCCTAAAGGTTATTGAAAGAAACAAAAAAAAAAAAACTATGATGAACTATTTTTCATTTGATACTTATATATACTTGCAAATATTGTGATTAATTCATCTTTTGTAGACATATAGTAGCTTGATTTTTCCAGTAATTCTGATGCCAGCAATCATTTATGGAGACAACATCACCATCCCTGTCCACAAGGTGATTATAAATATACACTTAACTGAATCAAAAACAAGAAAATTATTAATTATCTGATCTTTATATGAAGGATTCGTGTATATTGTATATGTTTATTTAGGTTAATCATGTCCTTGGCAACTACAGCAGTAATCTGTTGAGGATGGAAACGGAGTCTGGTGCATGGATAAAGGTTTGCAAATTATGATCTTATTTTAAGGAATAAGTAAATTGCTATTATTATAACTTTGAATTTTCAGATTGAACCAGGTCTCTCTTCTCTTGGTTCTGAATGGAGAGTAGTAAACGTATTTGGTCCACAGGAAAATATTGTTAAAGCAAAGTCGTTAATTGAGTCAGTAATCTGTGAGGTGATGTTAGTTTTTTTAACTTATTAATAATTAAAAAACTTGATAGCTAGGTTGATGATTGTAGAATTAATTGGGCTTTATATGGGATTTTGTTCATGCAGCATGAGGAATTATCTAGTGATGAAGCGTTGAATGAAATGATGCACCAGTTTAAAGAACCTAGTTGTGGCGAATTAATTGATGGTAAGAAACTAAAAGGGAAGCAGCAGGCTGAGGAAGGTGGCTCCGGTGTATCAGAAAAAGAGGGGGATGTGCATGAAGAAGATGAAGTCGATGAAAAAGAAGGTGATGAATCGAAAGAGAAAAGGCAGAAGGGTGTTGAAGTTTCTGGTCCTACATTAATATTAGCGTCAGGGTGTTATGGATCGTATCTACACTGTGTGTCCCATGCATGGAAATGATATAAAATGGTTAAGAAATCTTGTTTTGTGTAATCATGAAGGAATGATTCGAATATGGCTGATACAAAATGGTTAAGAAATCTTGTTTTGTCTCAATTTTACACAGCCCCGTTTAAACAAGGGATGAGAATATTAGTGAGTTGTAGTGAATTGATGTACAAAGGGTGCCCATATACTTCCTTTTATTTGGAAAAAATTTAGAGATTATGTCAAATTTGGTACATATATGTGTTTAAGATGGACATCCATAGTATTTTAGATTAAACCAAATCATACCGTTATAAGAAAGTGTAACATGGAATTTGAGAAAGCAAAAAGGAACTGAATAAAAACAAAATCATTAACAATAACAGAAAAAAAAATTACCAAATCAACAACAGTTTTAACAAATTATATAAGGACGTGTAACATGGAAATCGAGTATAAAAAACAGCTAAAAAAGCCAAAACACCTAACAATATCCTCAAATACGTGATTATTACTTTTTGTTAGTCTTTGGAATTATCCGGAAAGTACACCGTTTTCCGTACAAAAAACTGGATTGGTTTTTCCATAACCAGTTTTTGTATAACTAGTTCAAGTTGAATATAGGTTTTTAAGAAAGTGTGAATCGGTTTTTTACCATGATTTTTCCGATTTTTGTAACTGAAAATACCCGTTTCTTTAACTTACTTTCACTACAAAATAAATAAATAAATAATAATAAAAATAAAAAATCAACCAGACAGTTAATTAGGTTTTAACCGAAAGCGAAATTAAAAATAACCGGTTATTTTAAAAATAGTAACCGGTTTTAACCAGCCTTAGTGCACCTATCTATTCTCCACTCTCGTTTCATCGGTACTCGACAAGCTATCACATCAGCTAGAATCTGTCGGCGGTTTAAATTTTGATTCTTGTTAGTGGTCTTCCCCTTCTTTGTCGGTTCTACCCATCTCCTTGCATTTTGCGTTTCTCTGCACCTAGCGACAAGTACTTCTCTAGTCTCCATCCTTCTCATGTTCTTCGATCACTCGTCTTGAAAGGTGGCCAAAAGTTTGAAAAGATTTCTTTGTCTAAGAAATGAAAAATGAGAGAAGCTAATTTGGAATGTTATTCAAACCATAAGTCTTCTTCTTATACTTTTCATTTATCTTTCTCTCATTTTGCGTATCACGCGCTCTCATATCACATAACTTTCATACTATTTCCTTCTCATTTTGCGTAACGCCCCGATTCTCGAATACCAATTTATGGTGATAAATTCTCATGGATTCAAGGTCTACTCGACGAGTTGGTTGCCTGACTCGTCGAGTAGCAGCGGGTTAGGTCGCGCACTTAAGTGACCTACTCGCTGAGTCCCAAAAGGGACTCGACGAGTAGGAGCTGGCAGATGAAACCCTGAATTTCGGGGTATTGCACCATATTTAAAGGATCATTGGCCTCCTCAGCCTCCCCTTACAGCCTCTTGATAATCCAGAAACCCTAATTTGTGTGAGTGTGCTCCATTTGTGTATTCTTAAGCTTTGGAAGAGAATCTTTGGAGAGGAAATCTTGGAGAGCAAGTATCTAGAAGCAATGGAACGTGTGGGATCTGAAATCTATCTTAGTGGCATCCTTTGGAAGGTATCAAATCGCTATCTTGACCTCATTTCATTTCTAGATCTCTTTTGAGTAAATTTTAGGGCTTTTCTAGTATGTTTGGAAGCTTTTCTCGTGTATAAGCTAAGATCTGAAGTTGTAACTTCAGATCTGAACTCTCTTGGACCTTTAAGTCCATAAAGCTTCCAACTTCAGCAAAGATGAGACTCTCCCTAGGTGCAAACCTCCATTTGCAAGCATAGTTTGTCATTTTAAGACTTTAGGGTCTTGCATGCACGTAAAGTTTGCAACTTTACGTTATAAACATGCCTTGGGAAGCTGGATCTACAATATGGAGCCTTAGCATGGCTTAAAAAGTCACTGTATGGATGAAGGACTGAATGGACTTGGCGAGTCGGATGAACGACTCGGCGAGTCCGATGAAGAATGCCTTGGGCTCGGCGAGTCAGTCGAATGACTCGGCGAGTCAGTCGAATGACTCGGCGAGTCGGCTAGGGTTTTCCCAACCTTTGGACACGTATGAACCCGACGAGTTGTAAGGGGGAAACTCGACGAGTTGGCCAAGGAGTTTGCGGCCACTGGCATTAGGAACTCGACAAGTCGCTCCAGTGACTCGGCGAGTTAGCAGGTTATGCAAGGAACTCGGCGAGTTAGCAGGTTATGCAAGGAACTCGGCGAGTGGTTGGTTGTACTCGATGAGTTGAGGTCAGCATGGACTGTTGACCTTGACAGTTGACTTTAACTTTGACCAAGGGTTGACTATTGGACTCCTGGGGTATTTTGGGAAATGGGAAATTTATGAACATGGTTTGATGGTAACTATAGGTGGTGGAGTTCGTGTCGGTGATCCGAGAGTTTGAGCTTATCTTTCGAATCGACAGTTTCGAGGTGAGTTCCCCTCACTATATCAACAGGGTCTACGGCACCAAGGCCGGCCCTTTATGATTTACATCCTGGTTTAGGATGGTTGCTATGTTAGATTTCATCCTGGTTTAGGATGGTTGTTATGTTAGATTACATCCTGGTTTAGGATGGTTGCTATGTTATTGCTATGCTAGATTTCATCCTGGTTTAGGGTGGTTGTTATGTTAGATTTCATCTTGGTTTAGAATGGTTACTATGCTAGAGATCGGTTAGATCGGTATCCTGGTTATAGGATGGTTGCCATGTTAGTGATCTGTTAGATCTGCATGTTTACTTGTTTATATATATGTGCACATGTTTATTGGTTTGGGGAAAGGGTTGAGGCAGGTCCTGCTGTGTGCAGTAGGCCAAGACACCATGGGCGGACCGGGTAGACTGCAGGCCCGGGCCGGGCAAATCTAGTCAGGCCGAAGGCCCAGCGAGCGGTCCGGATAGGCTGAAGGCCCCAATGAGGGCGGTCCAGACGTACCGAGGGCTCGGAGAGCGGTCCAGATAGACTGTGGACCGGGATTTGGTCTAGTCATACTGATGGCTCATTATGCATGTTGTTTGCTTATATGTTATATGATATGATTATGACTGTATGACGTCGGTATTTTAGGGGTAACTCACTAAGCCTTCGAGCTTACATTTATCGATTATTGTTTCAGGTACTACTGATGATCGCGGGAAGGCAAAGGCGTGATCGTACCGCTCCTCACATTTTATGATTTGATTCTGGGATACTTTGACAATATACTATTTTGAAAACAAGTTTGTAATAATCATGTGTTCTGAAATGTCTTAAAAAGTTTTAAATTGGCTCGAATTTTATGGATGTTACAAGTTGGTATCAGAGCCTTGGATTGAGTGAATTGGAGGAACACTCGTGTAACTCCAGTCTCAAATCAAGGAAAGGATTTTCAAAATGATTTTCAAATGGTTTTCAAAATAAGTAAAAGAGGATGTGAAGTGTACGATCAGCCGGAGCCAGTAAGTAGACCCCAAAATACAATACGGTTATTTGATATTGTGATATGTTAGAACAGCATGTTAGTAATAATGTAGGGATCCTCAGGAATCGTATGATAGAATTTCCTGATCTTTGATGTCTTATCTTATGTAGAGTACATCATTGATTGTTTGTGACTCTTTCGTGTGTGAACTAACTATTGGGTGAATACTCTAAGTCACATGCTACATGGTTTAAGTGGTCTTAGGGTAAGGGATTTGGTCCTGCTGCGCAGCTCTTGTCTGAGTCCAACCATTGTGGGATTAAATCTTTTAGTCTAAGATTGTTTAATCTGTGCGGTATGTGATTGTATTCATGCAATAGTTAACTGGCACCAATGGAGGGTCGTGTGGCAGTTGGTGGATGGGTGGGTAGTGAGAGGCTGGGAGGCCAGTTATGAGATATTTATCATTCCTCTAGGAGTGAGGACTTAGCGCTCGCTATGTATATGCATATTGTAGGTGTTGTGGTGATACTTGAGATAAATATGGGTAGGTGTGGAAAGGTAGTATGGGCCCGTACTACTGAAAGTACAGGACCCATACGCGTGTCAAGGAAGTCACATGTGACATCCCCAAAATCACGGCCAGAAAAGACCGTTTTAATTTATGCTTTTAAAATAATTTCAGAGTAAATACATTGATTTAAAAGAGCTGCGGAATTTGTTCCCAAAACAAAATATGATAAAATAACGTTTATCAAAGCATTTCATCAAGAGATGCATTTTCATTATATAACAATATTCGGGATGTCATGTTCCGATAAACAGACCAAAAGCATAAACAACAAAAGATAGACCATACAACAGTTATATATAACAACTGGTCTAATATCAAAAGATCTTGATAAGTCATCCAACTTATGCTCTCGCGCCACTACCTGTAATACAACAAAACTGAGTGGGTCAGGCTTGGGAGCCTGGTGAGCATATAGGGTTTTCAACCCACAATAAATAATTATATTTAATTTCACCAACCAACAATAACCCGATTACCCATTCCTGTTATCCTCACTTTACGTCCCTAAAACAACATCTATCTCAAGGGACCTAATCTAGGATTTTTCATCGGGACGGACATTACTGCAAGGGGTTTCCTCAACAATAGATGTCCTAAAGGCAACCATGAGGGGGATAGAGTACACCGGTGAACACATCGTTCACAACACCTACAGGTTATGATCCTGCTAGCGTTCCACTGGACTGTCTAGAATGAGTCTGTGGTCGTCATCCATACTCCGCTAGATGACTAGATCAACAACAACATCGAGGCCTCTCATCATTTTATTTTATCACACACCAACTATCTACCCATGTTCTACCCAACATATTAGTAGATAAAATATATACATTTATATACAGCTTAAAACCTATACAAACATCCATTCAACAACTAGTTCAAATAACCAAATAATATATACACACATAGCACGTATTTATAAAGAATACTTCATATCTATGTGTTAGAAGAAAACGAATATACACTCACTTGATCAGAAGATGATC